TCTTCTATATCACAAAAACACACTCAAAATCTCAATAATCTTTCAACAATGGAACTCACAGCGAATTAGGGTTTTTGGGGAATAGGGAGGTTGGTAAGGGAGGTCCAAAGGGGATTAAGTGGCTTAAATAGGGTGCAAAACCCTGAAAATAGGGTTTCCTCTGGGCAGACCTACTCGTCGAGTCCATGCTTGAACTCGCCGAGTAGACCCTTTAAACCCCGCGTCCTTTTGGCATCTACTCGACGAGTTAGGGCTACCAACTTATCAAGTAGCTCAAAAATAAATATTTTAATAAATTAATTGCGTACCAGGAATGGGGCATTACACTATGCCACCAACCTGGTCATAATCGAAGAAATTGTTCAAATTCTAAACCAAGATACAATGTCATGTGAAGTATGTATTTTTATTAATTTATGTTTAAATGTGTGCTTAATTTGTATTGTTGTTTAATGCTTATTTAGTAATGTAATGTCATATTTAAATGTTTTTGTAATTTCGTAACAATATAATATATTCAATATTTGTGTTTTATTTGAAGGTGTTGATTAGATTTATTTAAAAATGTAATTTCCTAAAAATAATACACTAACATATTTTTAAATAAAATAATCAATGTATAATATATAATAACAATAATATGCATATATTTATTAATTATAATACAAATCGATCAAATAAATGCAATATATTAAATATTGAAATTTATTCATAGCTATTTATGAGTTTTATATTAATGTGTATAAGTTATTCAAAATATTAATTAGAATTTAATTATATATTTTTAATAATAGGAGTAAAATCTAAAGTTTTTGTTAATAAAAGCTAACAAGAAATTAGTTACGTAAGTTTCAATATTTGTTGAATTCTAATCGGTGGGTTCCCAAGAAAAAAGACCTATTTCTACAAAGAAATAAAATGCTATCCTATTTCTACAAACCATTCTCAAAACTTTTTATCATGGTTTTTGCCAACGAATCATATAGTAAAAAGTAAAAAATATAAAAAATCAAAAGATATGCTCCAACCAAGTCGAATGCTAGAAGAATATCACGACCACAACTTCACCGCATGGCACAAAAGGAGTGGTCCTTCATATTGTTATTCTATGTTTCTATTATTAATTTTAATAAATTTTGGATTAAATATAAAATAATTTCTATTAAACTTATTTACATTGCAACAAAAAAGAGAATTACCGATGGCCAAAACCATCGGTCGGTAATCAGTCGCTAATAGACTTTTACCGACGGAATTGCAATAGACCAATATGTGCCGGTAATTGTATGCAACGGATTTCCGATGGCTACGACAAATTTTAACGAAGAATATTTTTGTCGGTAATTAGTAACCAATCACCGATAAAAATATATTTTTTTTTGTAAAGGATTACTATCGGAATAATTTTCAACAAATTACCAACGGAATCTAGGAATAACTCACTAACGAAATCCCGAAATACCGACAAATTTTCTGTGACAGATTTTGGCATTATAATTTCATGAAAAAGTTATAAATAATTACTTACTCAACAAAGAAAAATCTTAAAACATACATCAAATATTTATTTTAAAAGAAACAAAAAAAAAATATAAAAGTAAAAAACTAGAAGACCATTTTTGATCGAAAGCAAATCAATCATGATATTTACTGAGATGTTCTTCATAAAAGTTAACTATACTAAATACAATTTGAATCCAACTATTTGTAATGAATGTGAACAACAAATTACACCTCATATATCTTTATATTCTAGATTTCTTGAACAAAAATCAAGATTTTTTCACACATCATCACCTCATATTTGATGGAGCACCTGAAATAGTTGCATCCACAACCCATCTTTCTTCTTTCATTGATATTCAATCTTGGTGACCTTGGTTTTCTCACTCATTTTGATGACCAATCCACAATATACACAAAACAAAAAGTTCAATATTAAAAAAAAAAAAAAAAAAAAAAAAAAAAAAAGAAAAGGAAAAAAAGGCTAGAGTTAGACATTTTAGATCTAGTAAAAATATATTGTAAAATAGTCTATAATGCTATAACTATTTTTTAACAATATTATCTTCGGGGAAAGAAAGGTTTGTTGAAATTAGGCACTGGTCTCGGTCTTGCATGAGGTACAAAAGCCCTTCTTAGTTGTTTTAAAGCCTTTCCTTCCTCCATCTGCACTTTAGACACAAATTATATAAATATTGCTTGATAATTATAAATAATAATGCAACTTTTATGTATAGATCAAGTTTTTTATTACTATATACAATCTTTGCATATTCTACCTCATCTATTTATCTCTTGTACATCAAGTCTTCTATTATTCTATATGGATTTTCTTAGGAACTAGAATTGGATCCACACAAGTAAAAAAAAATCAACATTTTTTGAAGCAAAGTTAATTGTATTGGAAGTTGATTATATGTATTGTAGTCTTGTCTAGTTATAAACTAAGGCTTGTGAAAGATACTTAGTATAAAGTAAGTTGATTAACTCAATAGTTTAATTTTGGGTAATGTGTGAGATTGAGCGGAGTGTAGTAGTCCTCCTATTTCTAGACAACCATAAATTGTGTGTCTGTATCTGTATCGGATAACCAGTAGGTATGTTTGAGTCATCTACTAGAGTAAGATGGCAACAGTTGATTATTCTAGACGATCTTGTGAATTACGTTTCGAGTGTGGACTTACAACCCCCATACGTAGATGAAATGGGATACTATAGTCATCAAATACTCTAACATTTTGGATGCCTTCAAAATAACTTACACCAGCCAAGAAATCCCCTAGTTGTGTAGTCAAACCATTGTTCAAACAATTCATTGGGTAAGATGATTCTTACAAACAGTGACGGAGTTAGTACCGGGGCTGCCGGATGCCCAGCCACCCCCAACATTTTTTAGTTTCAGTATACTAAGCCATCAAAACATTAAATAATTGATATTTAAGTCCAGGTCATGTAGTTGTAGCCCACAACCCTCATTTGACTTAATTAACTTATTTATTACTTAAATTGCTCACACTCTAATTACCAAACTGAAAAAGACGGCAACATTATTTTCTGCTACTTACCTATTGTGCTACAGTATCTTCTCCATTGAAGAACAAGGTATGTTTTTAATTATTCTTGTATATTCAGTAACTTTTTACTTTGCCATTAATTATATTATTATACATGGTATTTTGTTTTTTATATTTAGTAATGATAGATTATATCATTGAGTATAATTCAATTAATGAAAGATATGGATCTATAATTAATATAGTTTTTTAATATTAGCATGTTAATGAATGACTATAAATCAACGTTTATTGTTGGTTGAAAACTTTTGGAAATTCATTCTTGAAACGATTGATATAACTTCTCTTTAAACAATTTTTTTATCGTTGAATTCTCTTTCAAAATTGTAGAAGCTATTATGTTATTTTGATATAACATATATTTAAATATATTTTTGCGACGTCGGCCCCCCTTATTCTTAAATCCTGGTTTCGCCCCTGCTTACAAATGATCTTTGAATTAGGATTTGTGAAAATCGATTGGGTTGGGTATGTATAGCCAGATTGTCTTATATATATCTACATTCGATTATTTATCTATATTATCTGGTAACGTTTGTTTTACAGGATTAATATATATATATATATATATATATATATATATATATATATATATATATATATATATATATATATATATATATATATATATATATTATTTATCATTATAAATATTATAGGTTTGAAAACTCAATGTGTTTCACCCAGTTTCCAAACATGACCCACTCAGATTTATATGCGTCACAAGTAGTGGCACTATGCTTGTTGGAAATTGAATATGATGTCAAGTGACTAAAGACACAACCCTGTAATAGTATTGAGGACATTTATGTATTTTCCTCAAAAAAGACAACATGGTATTTTAAAGCATAAAGAAAAAGTTGTATTTGGTTCTGAAAAATATGGGATGTCATAGATATAAAAGTCACTACAATCAAGTAATTAATTTTGAATAAGAACTACTTTGTCAACTGTATAGATTAAGTTACCTACTTGTTAGGGAAAACTGACTGTAACGCCCGGTTCCGAGGGAGATTCCTTAAGTTTTTAAATATTTGATTGCCGCATGGAAGGCCATTACGTTGGGCGTAATTGATAGTTACCATCGATCATAAGTCGTTAAACCTAGTCGTGAGTTCCTCTTGAGTATGTTGGGCATACCTAGAGTACATTGTACGTACTTGTGGTAGAGGCAAACCCTAATTTATGGGTCTTGAACCCTATTTAAATACTTTAACCCCTTGGAAACCTTCTTATCTTCAGCCTCCATCCTCTAAAGCAGTCCCCTCGAAACCTTATCCCCATTTGTGAGAATCTTGAGCCCTTTGAGAAATTTGGTGTGTTTTTGGTGCATATTAAAGAAGAAGGAGCTCATTGGAGAAGTGTTGGTTAGCTTGGAGCTTGTAGATATGGATTCTACTCTTCTTCATCATCTTCTAGAAGGTATAAACTCTCAAGCTTTATGATTCATTGCTTAGATATAGTTTAGCTTAGGGTTTTGGCATGTTTTGGTCCCATGGGTTGATTCTTGTGAGTAAAAGCTACTCCAAAATCTTAGGTTAGCATTTCTTTATATTTTTCAGGTCCCTGGTGTATAAAAATCGTATCTTAAATGCATTGGTCCCACCATACATGAGTTGTTGTTCATAATATGACATTATGAATATGAAGTTAGAGTTTGGTTTTGGGCTTCTTTGAGCCATGCAACTGTCCCTTATTCATCCCTACCCTTTTATCATCACAACTAGCATTAAAACTTTTAAAAACACTTCAAATAGATATCATCAAACTTATATATTTATCAATATCATAAAAAAAACATTAGTAATATTGATTTAATTTGTATGATTCTCATATCATTTTCAACCTTCAAACTGACCATGCAGACCCGTTCTAGACTTTCAGAAACATTATACGAGACACAATAATAACAACATTAGATAACCTTATCTTATCTTCTATGGTTTGTATTCATCCATCATCCAATCCATTCAAATTCATCAACAAAACATCCTAAAAAATTAAATGGAACCAAACTTATGCCCACATAAATTACAAAAACCGAATGTTTCAAAAGTCCTATAAAAACTACATTAATAAGAAGATAATGACTTGTATCTTAGCCAACAGAAAACACAAAATGTTCCAAAAAGCGTAACAATACTTGTATGATAACTTATATTTTATGCAGTGAGTCCCTCCACGGACATCCGATAAAATTGGAATGATATTTTATGTAGTAAGAAATAAAGATTTTGTTTTTATACGAACTTATAGCTATTCGGTTTAAAAATTGTACATTACTCGAAAGAACACCACATCGATAATCAAACATATAAATTCACAAAACTTGTAGAAATACGTTTCAATTTTGGTACACAAATTCATTCAACTTCTACTCTTCTCTTCTCATCTTTGTTCAGTTCGCACATTAGGTGTTCGATGAAATGCATCAAAGACTAAAAAAAGCAGTTCAACCCTTTATTATTTATCCGACCAGACCATTATGAATCAAAGACATCAAAACCTAACAAACTTCTTTAGCAGCTGCAATGACAGCTTCAGCAGTAATCCCATACTCCTTATAGATCTTTGGAGCCGGTGCACTTGCCCCAAATTTATCAATCCCAATCGCCTTCCCTTTGCTTCCAACAATCTTGGCCCACCCAAAAGTCGATGCAGCCTCAATGCTAACACGAGCCGTTACACCAGAAGGAAGAACACTCTCCTTGTACTCCTCACTCTGTTCCTCAAAAAGCTCCCATGAAACAAACGAAACAACCCGAACCGCTTTCCCTTCCTTTCTAAGTTCATCCGCCGCTTTCGCTGCAATCTCCAGCTCCGACCCGGTCCCAATCAAGATCACATCGGGCTTGTTGCCCGTGGAATTATCGGTAATCGTGTACCCACCTTTGGCGACGCCTTCAATCGAAGTTCCGGTCAGGTTGGGCAGCTTTTGGCGGGAAAGCGCGAGGATAGACGGTCTTTTCCGGCTCTCCACCGCCACCTTGTAGGCTCCGGCGGTCTCGTTTCCGTCGGCCGGGCGGAACATCAAGATGTTGGGCATGGCACGGAAACTTGCCAAGTGTTCGATGGGTTGATGGGTGGGCCCGTCTTCTCCTAGCCCGATGGAATCGTGAGTCATGACATAGATGACTCCGGCTTCTGAGAGGGCGGAGATTCTCATTGCACCTCTCATGTAATCGGTGAAGACAAAGAAGGTGGCACAGTAGGGGACGAATCCCGGGCTGTGGAGGGCGATTCCGTTACAAATGGCTCCCATTCCGTGTTCACGGACTCCGAATCGGACGTTGCGTTCTTCGGGGGTGCTTTTTTGGAAATCACCAAACATTTTCATTAGAGTCATGTTTGATGATGCGAGATCGGCACTTCCACCGATGAGACCCGGGAGGACGGGTGCTAACGCGTTTAGCATTGTTTGTGAGAGGTTTCTTGTCGCGTCGCCGGGTGTCTCCGGGGTGTATATCTACATAAACACAAAAGTTTTTTAATAAGTTAATATACTGTCTTAGAGGTTGCAATGTGGGAGTTTCAATTCCAAAGCGGATTGTGTTGTTATGTCATTGTTAGCTACCTAGTGGGCCACTGTATATAGTGTGGGCCAGCTAAGGGGTCGCAGGAAGAATAACTTTTTTTTTTGTAGAAAGATAAAGTTGATATGTTTTTTGCTATAAAAGGAAACCAACCGGAAGAGCCTTTTCCCATCCAGCAGGGAATACGCCTTCAGCAATAGACTTTAATTCTGCTGCATCTTCGGCATATTTCTTTTCATATTCTGCAAATTTAGTGTTCCATTCAGCTTCAAGGGCGGCACCTTCAGGGGTGTGGCGGCTCCAGTGCCTATCAAGAAATCAAGAAACCTTACTTAGAATCTTGGATTTGGTCCAATAAAAAAGTTAGGATCTTTATAATGTTTTGCATGATATCAAAAAAAATCCTCATTTGGAATTCTGAATTTGATCCAAGAAAACAATTTAAAATCTTTAAGATGTTTTGCATAAAATCAAGAAAGACCCTACTTTGATCCAGTAAAAAAAAGTTAAGAGTCTTTAAGATCTTTTGCATAACATCAATAAGAAGAAACCCAATTTTGAATTTGGTCCAAAAGACAAAAAGTTAGAATCTTTAAGATCTTTGCATAAAATCTAGAAACTTTAGTTTAGAATCTTGGATTTGACCCGAGAAAAAAAGTCAAAATATTTAAGAACTTTTGCATACTTTTTCACTTCTTCTGGTACATGGAATGGCTCATAAGGCCATCCGAGGTTTTGTCTGGTTGCATCAACTTCTTTTGCACCCAAAGCAGCTCCATGGACACTGTATGAATTCGCCTTGTTTGGTGATCCAAAACCAATTGTTGTTGTCACCTGAAAGAGATATCACTTAATCTGGTAAGCTATATATGCTCGTTTCTTTCAGACATAACACAAAAAGAACATCCTACAAGAGAAAATCAAGAAAACACAACTTTTTCTCTTATGTCCTAACTTTTTTTTTACATGATCATATAATTAAGTACCTTGATCAAAGTGGGTTTATCTGTGACAGCTTTAGCTTCTTTAATGGCAGCACGAATCTCATCATAACCAGTGTTACCATTCTTGACCCAGATAATATGCCACCCAAGAGCCTCAAAACGTGTATCCACACTCTCAGTGAAGGCAATCTCTGTGTCACCATCAATGGAGATGTGGTTGTCATCATAGAAAGCAATCAGCTTTCCAAGACCCCAATGGCCAGCAAGTGAACATGCTTCATTTGCAATCCCTTCCATTTGACACCCATCTCCAAGAATACAGTATCTAAATCATAAAAGAAACATTTTTTTTAATAAAGATTAGATTTTTAGAATACCCGAATAGAGATTTGAAATCTTACGTGTAGTGGTCAACGATCTCAGCATCGGGTTTGTTGTATCGGGCAGCTAAATGCTTCTCAGCAAGAGCAAGACCAACAGCATTGGCAATACCTTGACCAAGAGGACCTGATAATAAACAAAGATTTTTTTTTAGAAAGATATGATTTTTTACAAGATTTTAGTATGTAGATGTGTATGAGTTGAGTACTAACCAGTGGTGACTTCAATACCAGGGGTTTCAAAGTTTTCAGGGTGACCTGGAGTTCTGCTTCCCCATTGACGGAATTGCTTCAAGTCCTCTTCCTGATAGAGGATATTCCAGGTTATTATCAAACAATCAATTCAAAGATCAATCAATCATCAAGTGGTGAAGATATAGCAAAATCAAAAACGTATCATCAAGCACAAATGAAACTAAGAGTGAGCCAAGGAAGTACAATCTTGTTCCACGATTTGGGTTGGAGACTTAAAGTTATACTCTTTTGTGATCGAGATGAAAGAGCCAAAACGCTATGTTTATTCAAGTTAATTAGCTTGTGTAAGTACAAAAATGAATCTTTATCCCATTTAAACCGATTCCTAGATCCCAACAAGTTATATGTGTCCGAACACATAAACGCTCTACTGAAAATTTGAAGAGATAGAATAGCTAATGAACTTTTTTGTACCATGATAATGTAATTTTTTGAAAAAACCCAGATCCCAAAACAGATTCAATCCACTTGACCATTTCGTCGAACAGATGGAGGATGTGGAAGATAGAAATCACGAGGTAGATCAACTATGAATAGCCTCAGTTTGCCATTGAAAAACAAATTTGTTTTACTTAATCAGACTGATAAATTCAAGAAAAATTAGATGCAAATTAGTACTGAAACGCATAGAGATAATCGTCAAGGGCTTACTAGGACGCTGTCGTAGCCAGCAAGGTGCAACAGAGCATACTGGAGCATACATCCATGTCCGGCGGAGAGAACAAAGCGATCCCTGTTGAACCAATACGGGTTCTTGGGGTTATACCTCATGACCTCATCGTACAATATATGACCCATCGGAGCACAACCCATGGGGAAGACCAGGGTGACCCGAATTCGCCTTCTCCACAGCATCAATCGCCAAGAATCTGATGGTGTTGACGGACTTATCCACCAGCGCGGTATCCGTCTTCTCAAGGGTCTCTACGGCTGCGTTGGCAATCACACGGCGGCGCGTGGAGGATACCTGACGGCGAGTGGGGGCGCGTGAGGATGAAGTGGAGGTGGATTTGAGTCCAGAGAAAGTGGGTATTGAGAGGGTGGCCAAGGAAGTGGATTGTTGGGTGGCAGTTGTGGAAGAGCCATGGCGGGGGACGGCGGAGCGGGAGAGAGCGGCTTGGGAGAGAGTAAGTGAGGTAGAGGCTGCCATGGCTCTTTGTAGAGAGAGAGTAGAGAGAACGAGGAGGAGTGATTGTTGTTATTATACAGTTGATAGGGGGGGTTTTATCAGTTTTAGATTCGGATGAAATTTGAGAGAGAGAAGAAGATTGGAGAGGGGTGGTTGAGATGAATAGGGGAAAGGGAGACCGTTGGATTGATTTGGAGGAGAAATGATAGCCGTTAAGTGAGGGTAGGAAATGAATGCCTCAAGTTGTTGGCACCTTTGGATTTTTGGATTTCTTTTATCAAGCCAGAATGGTCTAAGGGTATATGCCATTTCCTTATTTTTACACCAACAAAAACCTCATATTACAAGAGGTTTTAAACCACTACTTATTAAAATTGTTCATTTGGTTTTAGTATCTTATGCTCTGATAATATTTTGTTCATTGATCTTTATTTTATGTTTATAGAATATGAGTAGTCATACCATAAATATGTAAGAGAAGTATGTTCATGAAAATGATGATGAGGTTGCATCACATGTTTATTTGAATTTGTTATAGTGAGATTGATGACAATTGAAGGGAGTTATATCTATTTATTAGTATAACTTTGTTTTGTAAATGTGTCAAAGATGTATAAGGTTTTTGCTAAAAATAAGATTGGTAGATAAATAATGATACTAAAATCGTGTAAAACATCCACTTGAGACTCCATCAATAGTGTTTTATGTTAAAAAGAACAATAATATTCTTTGATAATTTTTTTTTTGAACGGCCGAATTTTATGAAGCAACTAACAAATATCCGTTCAAAATTTTGATTCTTCTATAACTCGTTTGGCTCAAACACTACTCCATTGCTATAGCCTATATGACCACAAAACCCAAATAATTGTCACGAAAATAGCCTCCAAAACTACTTGTTTCATCTTAGACATCAGAGGAGAGTTCATTCATGAGAAATGTCCATAATGGAACTAAAATCCGTAAAGGAGAGATCCATCCATCTTTTAAGAGAATACCAATTGACCAAACTTAATCGGCAACCTCACAAGTGTAAAATAAATGAGTCACCTCTTCAATGTGGTTATCCCATCTCGAGCACAAAGTCATCTCTAAGTCAATACCTCGATTCGGAAAATTGGTTATGGTAGGAGGAATAAGATCAAGTAACATTCATCAAAGTATTTTGTTGATCTTTATAGGCACATAGTTTAAAATATTTAAACGATTCATCAAAGTCATCTCCAACAAGTAACATTCATCAAAGTCATCTCCTACAAGTAGGAACTTTAGTACATTACTACTCATGAATGTGGAAACAAGTGGGGCTAACAGAATAAGTCTTTGGAGGATCTAAAATTCAAGAAATCCTTCGTTCTTGAGCTTTACCACCCAAACAAAAAAACAATATTTAAACGATTCCAACAACGGAGAGTAAGTCGACTTCCAATTGAAAAAATATTCACTTTCCAATTACACAGTTTTTTCATAAATCTGTTAGCGACCAGTCGACCACATTTATTCTTGTGAATAAGTCACACTCATGTTCTTTATAATTAAGAAAAATTGTTTATTTTATTTACGGTTTTGACTAAAAATATAAAAATCGCCAAAACATAACATAAAAAAAGTTATATAAAAACACATGGATTTTTTCAGGATGGTCAACCATTGCTTTTTCACCTACCTCCATTATCCTTTGTCACCTACCTCAACAAAAAGAATCATAAACAAATTAAGTTATTGGCTTCAACAAATATTATAAGATCATTAATCATTTTAAAAGGAGGAGGGGTGCAGTGATGCACTTAAATCTAAATGAAGAGTAATAATTATTATTATATTTTATGTTTTTCTATACAAAAGAAATTATAACGAGTGGGATGATGCTATTTGGTTGTTCGCAATATTACGCAAATGTATTTGATAACAAAATAGTTTGGTACATTAAATAATCGGAATTTCTTTATGGCATGAATCGTGGCAAATTCGATGTGCGACAGCAAGAAAATGTTCTCGTATGACGTATAAAGAAAAACCATAATGTACGAATTTCTTAATAACACAATAAGTCGCTTATTTGTTGTAGTGTTTCATAAACTTTGTCTCTCTTGATCTATAGAAAAGCTCGTATCATGAGTTAGTTGAGAATCATACCATTGGTTTTGGTTTGCTAATTCAGATGATAAATAATCTAAGATAGTGTAATTAATAGGTTGTTAGAATCTATGACTTTTGTCGTACCATATGTTTTTTGCTTACATTTTATATAGCATAAATAGTAGCTGTAGTTGTGACGTCTTTTCTGACAACCCATTTTGTAAAGATGATTTCATTGTAAAAGAGTCTAAAAGAGATACGATGAAAACAAGGATATCAAAAAAATAATAAATAAATAAATAAATACAACTTTTAAACTTTTTTTTCTTCTAAGTTCTAGATATCACCCTAATAAATATTTAAGAAGTAAATAATTATATAACTTAAAGTCATAATAATCAAGTTTGCAAGACTAAAACATCAAAATATTTCATTATTTTTCATACATGTTTTTATATTTTAGTCTTTTAGGTTTGATTGTCTTTCAATGATTGTATTATTAGTAATGTTGTTGGCCTTGTTTGACCGTCAAATTTGATGACATAATTTTATTGACTTTTTGGAAAAAAGAAAATAGCAAATTAAGCAGCCCCATCTCATGAAACCCCTCACAGTTGAACAAAAAGGGAACTGAACGTATAAATAAAAGTAAGAAAGTTCAAGTTACCTTCTCTTGGAATAATTTAATGTTATGAAGCGGCACCACATTATTATCGATCTTTTTAGATTTTTAAGACCTCATGTATTACATTAATTTATTTTAAAGAAAAACTAAATATCAAATTCTAAACATTTGCGAAGTATGAATTTATAAGAAAAGTAAGAAAATATTGAATTATAAAAAGGGTAAATGACATTGTAGTTCTATAATGTTTTGGGTTTTGGTCGAATTAATCTTTTAACTTAACTTCTTGCTTTATAAGGGAATAAAGTCTATTTTGTCGGGTCTTTTTGACCATTTTGTAAAATACGAAGGGGTAAACCGGTCTTGACACCTCGTTAAATGAAGTATCAAATATGTTTTCCAACTCATTTTCACTTTATTACTCCATTTATTATCTTCTGTTATTGTCTTTGATTGGGTCATTTGTCCTTATCTCAAAAAGAACACCATCTCCCTTGAAAAATTCCCTCCACCCTCGACAATTCCGCTTATCATTATTGTTTCTTCAACAAATCCAAATCTGTGTTCCACTTCCTATATCTCCAACCTCCGTAAACCTAAAAAAGAATCGAACGACATGGAGCCACATTTGAAACCTCCACATTTCATGTCGGACTGACGGCGGTGGTTGCAGATTGTCTGCGATGCCTCCCTTTATTGTTCACCATCATCGATGATGTTTAGGTCTCTAAGCTGTTTCTCAATCCATGCATCACAATTCTCCAATAGGAGGAGATATCTTTAATGAGGTCATGTTAGGGTCCATAGGGATCCACCACACTCCTCAGCCTCTTGACCATCGCCGACCTTTAGACCAACATCAATCTTGCAAACTCCATAATGAAGCATTTAGTTTGTGACTAGTTTTCTCATCATATTTTAAGCAAATATATGATCATATGAGGTTTGTGCTACGTATATTCTAATTTGTAATTTTGATTTGAGGTTTGAGTTGCATATATGAGGTTTGTGTTAGTTTGATTTTGAGTTTGTACCGATAGTGGTTGTCGGAGGTGAATTGGGTGCCAGTAGGGTGTGTCTGTAATGTTTTTCTTGTGTATTGAAGCACTATCGACTTCATAATTCTCGTATTTTATGTGCATGTGTGTGTGTCTGTTATGTTTCTTTTTGTATTTGCTTTTGAACTTGAAATCAAGGGAAATCTGTAAGTGTGTTTTATAGAAAATCTTCGAAACAGTAGCGCTATTATTTGCTTGAAGGAAGATTAACACAATTTGTGTTGTAATTTCTAGGTCTTTTATTACGAACAGATACAAATGGTAAAAACTCAAAAACAGGGGAGATCAGCATGTCTGAGAACAAAAGCGGCTAAACGGTTGTAACAATTTCCAGTGGAGGGGGGGGGGGGGGGGTAAACTCATGAGGTGATGATCGAAGTTTGATAGTTGATAAGTCGGTGTGTGCAGTAATGGTGTATGTATGTTTATATGTTCCATTCTACAGTTCTTTAATTTTGACTTACAAGCCACGTTATGTTCGATTGATTGTTTGGAAGATAGAACCGGTTATTCCAAGTTAAGGGGACCAAATAAACAGGTCAACATACATTTTATTCCCTTAAAAACCAATAAATTAAGTTAAGAGACTGATTTGATCAAAACCCAAAACATTGTAGGGTTACAGTGTCATTTACCCTTATAAAAACTAAAGTTTTTTTTTCTCGTTTAAATTTAAATAAATAATTTAGATAAATAAATAAAGAAAATTAATAAATCTTTAATTTAGTAATTTTAAAATTAGCAGAAAAATTCATTAATGAAATTGATATGCATTTATTATTGCATTTTAAATACTATTTGTAATTTAATAAAATGAAAAAAACCATAAAATGACATGAAGAATAAACATTAATTTAAAATAACCACAGAATTACATGTGGTAAAATTAATAAGAATGTGATATGTGGTAAAAAGATCTTTTTATTAAGGAGGATTTAAGAGTGGGGTTTCACTAAGCAATAAATATTGATTTTATTTGGTTTTTTCAGATAGGTTAGGACAACTTTATATTGCATAATTTAAAATTTTTATTTGAATTATGGTTTAAAAATCATGGATGATTTTTTGTTTTCAATGATTACATGTTGAAATGATCAAGTCCTCATTTCCAAATCCCAATTTTTTTTTTTTTTTGTTATGGTTCGATATTTAACTGGCTTTGTTTTATGTAACCGAAAACTTTGTTGTTTAATAACAATAACATCACTTTTAAAGCTTTAGGGATTCAAATCCATAATAATTTGTTATTTCATATCATT